TTACGTAATATGATTTTTCTATAACCATTCTGCATGTAAAAGTATTAAGTTAGATATATAAAGAACCAATAATTTATGAGATATTATAGACACATTTCTCTGGCACATATAATTTACACGACACATTAAATATCTCGGAAAGCACTAATTTTTTGATAATCGTAATATCCTAATGCTTTTATGAATAGAATAATGAGATAAATCAGGTGTAAAGATAACATATACTTGTTTATTTAACAGAATTATTCATTGTTCCTAAATATTTTTTGGAATAACTTTAAAAAATTAGCTTCTTTCACCAAATTCAATAACCTTGACATATATTTTCAAATAAAATTAATGATATTAACATATATGAGCCGTTTATTTTGAAAGTGGCCTAAGTCCATTTTTCAATGTTTTGTTGTTGACCTTTGTAATAGCGTGTACAACTTGAAATTAGCTGTCATAAACAACATTTTTTTTTTTTAAAGTGACTTAGGTCACTTTCAAAATAAATGGCTCATTTAACACTTCATTTTTTTTCAAAGTGGAGTAAAACAGACAAATTTTCTGCTTTAAAACACAAATTCTCCTTTGATACACATATTCTTTGCTTTACAGTACAAATTCTCTACCTTAAAGACACAAATATTCTGCTTTCAAAACGAAATTACTTTCAGAAAAAAGTAGCGAAGTTAGAATATGATAAAGCAGGTTTTAAGAAGAAAGTGAATTTTAAACTCAGAACAAAATGAATTCAAAAAATGGATTCACACAAAATGAATTCACACAACATGAATTCACAAAAATGAATTCACACAACTTTCAGGTGTATATATTTTATTTGAAATGAAAATATTCAACGTACTTCCAAATTTAATTTTCTTTACAGGGACTGTGCAAAGAAAATCTAATACATCTTTAAATTGTACGATACATTTTTTAGATGCCTCGATCGTATCCAAAAAAAAACAATGTAGCAGAATATGTTCAAAAAGTATTAAAAATATTATGTCATCCTTGAAATCGTTCCACTTTTATCTGAAATACACTTTTTCGTATCGTTTTGATAATTTGATGCAACAGTTGATATGAGACACCTTATATATTTATATACATTATAAGAATAATTAATTTCAATTAGGCGAAATAATCATACGTTGTGAACTGCAAGTAATAAAACACTACAGTTTATATCGAATTCTACGTTAAAAATATAATTTCCTTAGTATAATTCTCGTGTATGTGTTTCGGTTTGATTAATTATAACAATTACAATTTATTTACAGGCACGTCCATCTACAACTATGTCTTATATCACACAAACTAAACAAAGTATTGAAAGTACAAATGTCAATACAAATGGTATGGTACTTTAATCAAGCTTTAATTATCTGTACATTGATGTATGATATGATTAAATATCTATATATGTGGGAATTCATGGGTATTTTCATCCGTTTATGTTTGTGTTTTGATTTCGTTTTGTGGACCATTTTATTTCTCAAATTACACTACATATGTCAAACTGTTTATAATGAGGTATATATTATAATAGAACAAATGAATTAATAACAAGTTATTACTAGAATAATAAGCACGAGCAACAATAAAATTACACATGTCAAAGTTTTATTTGAAATTTTATTCATTAAATGCAAAGTTTTCAGATTTACTACAAACTTTCGTTTTATGTTGATATAATTTCAGATAAATGAGACAGTAGCAATTTTTCACAAATTGTCCAGTTATAATCTCGATGAGGATTTACGAAAACAGGTAAATAATTACAATAAAATTTAATTTTAAAATTTTAATTTCTTATGCGTAATTTTACTAGACCAAAAATCTTGATATCAATATATATGTCATTGAATGAGTGTGTACAAAATTGGGATATTACATAACACTTGTGTTATTCTTCTATATATTTTAGAATACTTGTACGCACATTCTAACGCCACACGTAAGGATAAGCTAGAAAAAGTTTCAAAAATTTTTTAATTTATATAACAAAAGCGAGTTTTTAAAAGTTATTTCACATCATCAATATTCTAATATCATACCTCATCGTACTAACAATATTCAACTATCATACGATCTGTATCCTACTATCACACTACAAATATTCTGCAAAATAAGCTCAGTACGTTTTGGCATATAGAATTGAAAATAATTTATAAGGGTTTTGTAGCTGGTGTTGATACGTACAAATATCCTAAAAATACATATATAAGAATACAATATGTTAAATTCATAGTATTATATTATATTGATTTTGAGTTATTTATTGTTTAACCATTTCTGTATATCGGCCTTGCTTGTACCCAATATGTCGTTAATTTTACTATAACATTGTGGTTAAATAACTTAACTCTTGAAAATGTATTAAATTTGACCCAAATTTAATTTATTATATAATAACAATAAGTTCAAACATTAATATGAACACTTTACTTTGAAACTAAAAAATGGATTGATTTTGGCACATATTGAAGTTAGAAATAATAAAATATTATTAAAAGTAAGGGATAGGTTTGCACTTTAAGGCTTCTTACTACTCACAAGTAACACTACCCAAGTGTTAATCACCGATCGTCTTGAAATTTGGTCTACATATTCTTTAATGGAAAATATTTGATACGTATTTTTTTATATCGGCTAAAAAACATTTTAAGGGGGCTAAAAAAATGTTTTAACATTGTAAAAACTACTATTGCAACGTGTATATTGTGTCACTAACTGCAGGCAAAACAAAGAAGTGTATTTTAAAATAATTATTTATTCTAATTTTGAAAATCTGACTCCAAGTTCGTATTAAGCGACCCCAAAAACACCAGTATTCACATTCTTATGGAAATTAAACAATTTCTTGAAAATTCGTCAGCCATATTGGATACGACATTTTGAATTTTAAAATTCTGACTTCAGATTCGTAATTCCCGATACCAAAAACCCCCAGGTAATACATTTTAGCCAATTTTAAATGTATTTTTCAAACATCCAAGCAAGAAGCCCACGGTGACACAATATACACTTTGCGATAGTAGTTTTTACAATGTTAAAACATTTTTTTAGCCCCCTTAAAATGTTTTTTAGCCGATATAAAAAAATACGTATCAAATATTTTCCATTAAAGAATATGTAGACCAAATTTCAAGACGATCGGTGATTAACACTTGGGTAGTGTTACTT